ACGAGCGGCGGCCGGACGGCCGGACGCGCGGGGCCGCGGCGCAGGCTGTAGCAGCGGGTCTGCAGTGTGGCCGAGCCCCCCAGGCCTGGAACCGCGCGCCGCCTCCTCGCGAAGAGGGAGGAGACAGCCAGGCTTTAAAGGACCGCGGGTCCAGGCCGCGGAGGTCCGGGGGGAGGGGGCGCGGGCCGGGAGCCCCGAGGTGGCCGGGACGTCCTCCCCCAGGCCCTGTCTTGCCTCCGCCCAGCGCAGGCTCGGGCTGAGCGGCCCCGCGGCTCCCGGCCCCGCAGCTCCGGTTGGGCTCGCGTGGACTCCAAGCCGCGCAGGTCCCGGCCCCTCGCGCGCGCCCCGCGGCCTCGGTCCCGCCGCGCGCGGTCTCCCCGGGCGCCTGTTGGCGCTGGCGCAGGGTCTCAGCCCTCGGTCGGCGCCCGCCCCCTGCGCGCCGTCAAATTGGGGCTGTGCCGAGTCCCCGAGGGGGCGGGGCTAGCGGCCCCGGGGTCGCTCCATAGAAGTGGAATCGGAAAATGAGGAGTGCGAGGCCGCCCGCCGCCCCCGCCCCACGGATGGGCCGGAGACAGAGAGTGAACGGCAGGCTGCCTGCGCGGACGCCGAACCCCTCAAGTAAGGGAATCGCGTTTCTTCCAGAAAGAACACGGCAGACGCCCCGCCAAATCGGGAGGTCCACGCCTGACCGAGTGTTTGTGCACGCTGCGTTCTTGCGGGACGGGCCCCGCGGCCCTCGGTGCAGCCTGGTGCCCGCGTCGCCCTCCTGCTTCGGCCGCCGCCGCCGAGGAGCCGATCGCCTCCGGGGGACCCAGGTGGGAGCCGGCGGAGGAGCGCGCGCGCGTCCCCGGGGTGAGTGCGCGCCTCCCCGCTGCGTCCCCGGAGCCTGCTCCGCGCAAGGACGGGTCCTTTGCAATTACCTCGGGCAATGATCCTTCGAAAACAGAAATTAAAAGTTGGGAGAAATAATGGGGGGCCGATTGGCTGTAATTTGGGCCAAGCTCGGACCTGCTGGGCCTCAGGGAGGCGGGGGCTTGGGCGGCCCGAGAGCCCTCCCCCTCCCGCGCTCCCCGAGTGCTAGTCCATCCCGCGATCTAATCAAGACTCACAACACTGTGTCCTTCCTTGCCAGGACTTGATTATTCTTTATCTTTAAATTATAAATCACCTCTGGGGAAGGAGGGTGGGTAATCTCTCATCGCAGGGAGGTAATTATCTCCTTCCTGCCCCCACCTAGGTCTCTGCTCGCCCCTTCCCCTCCCCAACTGAGTGTGAATATAGATGTGCGCACCCCGTTCTCTCTCTCTCTTACACACACACACACACACACACACACACACACACACACACTCATTCACAAGCACACCACCACATAAGCACAGATTCATTCATGAGCACCCAGCTGCGCTGGGCACATGGCTCCTGAGAGTGCACGCGCGGCGTCCCCCTCTCTTTCCCTCCCGGCCAGCTCCTTTCCCCACTTGCTTGCTCCCGTAGAACTCTTGGGTCCCATCCCTCCTCTGCTCCCCTGGGGGCCCAGCTGCTGGGTGGCATGGGGCGGGCGCGGGTCCGGGAAGAGGGGAAGGCTGGGCAGACCTCTGAGAGCGCACAGTGCAGGTCAAAAGCGCCTGTCACCATAGCTTTGACCAGCTCCCCTCACCGCAGCCACAACCCCACACCCTACCTGCTGGGTTCCCGGGTAGCCCTGGTCCAGACACCCACAGGTAGTGGTAGAAATGGATGCCGAATCTGGCCCTCCTACAACAACTTTCAAGACAATGCACACACCACATATTTTGTATGGTGTAAACACAGTATAATGCATGATGGTTATCACCACACAAAGTAAATATACAGCATATTAAATTGGATGTGTAATGAGCACACTGGATCATGTGTCATAGCATAACGTACAACTGTACAAGGTTTTCCCAGCAGACCACTAAGGGTTCTCCTTGCTGATGGAGGGCTGGCTCAGGGCTAGTGTCCTTCCCCAAATGTGCAGGTCCCAAAGTTCCCCTTTTCCACCCGCCCTGCCCCTGCACATCCTAATGGGGCCTCAGCAGGCAGGGTAATGAGCTGCCCGTCTGAAGTTAGGCTGCAGAGCAGGGGCCAGGTCCTCCAGAGCTAGCAGGGCATCTCTGTTGCTTCCCTTGGGAGGGTGATGGGGAGCATGCATGTGAGGAGCTCATGGCAGCCTCTTGTACCCTCATAGCCCCATCCCTGAGGAGCAGCCTCACCCCAGAGAGAAGAGGCACCCTTCCTCCCGACAGGCAACCCAGGGGCTATAAAGACGTCCTTTCGCTCCTAATCACAATTGATTGTCAATTAAACCCTCATTTGTGCAATCTTTGCCCATCTGCCATCTCAGGTTATCTCCAAGCCACCAGCCTCACTTGTGGGGCCCCAGGTGGGCACTGACAGGTGACATCGTGCCTGGGACTGGGATGCCTCTGCCTGGCAGACAGGAAATGTTCCCATCACTGCTCAGCCCCATCTGCAATGTGCCGCTCCTGACAGGCGGGTCGCAGGTTGAGGAGCGGGGGTAGACGTGTGACAGGGGTAGAAATCTAGGGGGAGGGGTGATGGCCAGGGTCCTGAAGCAGACCAGGAGAAGGAGCAGGTGGGGGCTTAAATTTCCGGTATCTTCTCAGCATTACAACTGTTTTAAATTTGGGGGGACAAGAGCAAGTGGGGGAGCCCCCAACTCTGCTGTTAACTCCTCCTGCCCTAATAGCCCCTCCTGCCTATGTCAGTTGTAGGTGTGGGTTCCACATGACTTCTGAGATCTTGCTGCCCCCCTCATGAGCTAAGTGGCCGCTTTCTTTGTGCAAGTGGTGTGGGCGGGAGACCCTGCTCCTGGGGACGCTTGTGGACAGGCAGGAAAGCGTGGTGTTCAGGGATCTCTGGCTGTGCACGTGCACAAACCACCACCTCCACTGTGTCTAGTGTTTGCCTCGTGCTGCACACACCCCACCCAGGCCACCAGCGTCTTATCCCGTCCACAAATGAGTGTCCAACTTCCCGAGTGTGGACTGGGTCCAGGTGCTGACACCGGGCTGCCTCCGTGGGGAGGGCGCGGTGAGGGGAGGCGGACGGAGGCTCCGCGCTCCTTCGTCTCTCCTGTCCAACCCCTTCGCCGCGTGGCGCACATGTTGCTCACCAGAGTCTGGAGAATTAGCGTGCAGCGTTGTGCGTACTGGCTTTATCATCATCTTCTGTGAGACACACCGCTCGTCCAGGTTTATAAGCCATCGAGAAAGGACACCCACACTAGGAAGGGAGAGAAGCAGAGCGCTCCAGCCGCCGACCTCTCCAGAACCACGGACAGCGCCTTGCGTTCAGCACCGCGGACAGCGGCCCCCGCTGAGCTCTGCTCCCCAAAGCAGATACCGGGGAGGAAGCGGGGCAGACCGTGTGTGGGGTCTTGACACTGCGTGTGTCACATGCCCTAGCTGTGCCTGAGCACCCCGCCCCCCGGAGGCCCAGAGCTGCCCGGGGTCGCTGGCTCTCGGGGCTCCTTTCCACAGCCCGGAATTCAGAGAAGTAATGTGGGCAGCCCAGGCCTGGCTCCTGGGCAGAGTGAGCTGGGGGTGCAACAGTGAGGCCTGGCTCTTTAACGCAGCCAGAGCCGGCGCGGGGACAACGGGGCGCATCCTGGGTGGCTCTGTGTGCCAGGGCAGAGCCCTCACCTCCCTACCTACTGGCCCTCTCTTTGGCACTCCAAAGGACTTACTGACCACAGGGGCAGGGGCAGGGGCAGGGGCATGAGGATTGCACCTCACAGAACAACAGCTGAGACCAGAGACAAGGAACCATGTGCTCAAGGCAACCCAGGCCATGGGGTCCCAGCCTCCCAATGCCAGAGGGGGGTAGTCCAGGCTGGGTGCCCAGAGGCGCCTGCCTGTCAGGCTGTCCTGATGCCCCTCACTGCCCCTGCCCTCTCTGGCCTGTTCACCTGCCACTGGCTCAAGGGTGCCACCTTCCTGCCAGCACTTGGGCTGCAGGCTCAGGTGTCCTTACTGTGGTGGGTGTGAGTTGGGAATGACCATGACCTCAACCATGGGAGGCCAAGTCATGTTATCTAGAGGTGTGTGGTCAGGGGACCCCCCTAGAGTGCAGGGCCTGGGGTTGCCTTGTCACTGAGTGCCAGCCACGGTGATGCCCACCTCACCTCTCACTGTCTTGGTCACAGCCTGGCCCCCCCCTTGTATTTTCCATCATTCTCAAATGTAAACTGAGTCACAGTCCTTCAAAAGTTGTTATGGATCATGCCCTGGCTCTGCAGCTGGCAATGGGCCCTTTCCAACTGGGTCCTTGGCCTCCTCCATAGTCCCTGCACCCATATCCCATGCCCAGCAGGGACTGGCAGTACCCTCAGCTGCCTGACCTCCCCACAGCACTGTGCCATTCTGCCCCCCAACCCTGAGCTTCACATGGTGTCACCTTACACACCCATGACCTTGACCGGTTCATTGAGGCTCTGGCCCTGGACTGTGGGCTCCAGAACACTGCGTGTCTTACTGGCCGTGTGCCCTTGTGGAGGGATGCAAGCAGCAAAAGCATGTTTGCATTAAGAACAGTAGGTCCAGAGGTGGGGTGAGGGTCATACCCCACTGTACACTGTACACTGCTCCCCACTCCATGGGTGGCTTGTTTGGCTCCCATGGGCAGACCCTGGAATCCATGCATGTGTGGTTTGGCATGGATCAGCCTGCTCCCTGCCATGTGGACACAGCTGCTGTGCATGCTAGGAGGAGTTGCCCTGGGCTGACAGACACCTGCAGGTGCAAACCCCACTCCAGAACGTCCTCGGATCAAGCCAGTGGGATACAGAGTGCACCCCTGGTGGGCTCTTTCCCTCCATTTCTTCTGCCCTGGAAATCCAGCCATCCAAATCCCACCTCAGCTTTGCCTTAGCTGCCCCAGGCCAGGCGCCCCTGCACGGGCTGGCAGAGTGCCCCACTGCACAGTCCCACGCAGAGCTGAGGCTTCGATGTTGTACGGTTACAGTAATGCTTGTCCCTCGTCCCAGCCCCACACAGCCAGGGAAGCACTGAGTCAGAAATGCGGTGGGTAGGGTGCCCATCCACCATTCTTCCTTCCGTGCCCTCCCTCCCAGCCATCGCTCCTCTGGGGACGTGTACTTCTGGCTTGGCAGTGGGACTTGGGCGGGATCAGGCTGAGCGAGGCCCCTTGCCTTGGAGTCCCAGCCCCAGCCCCATGAGCACAGGCTCCAGTGAGCAGCTACATCCTGGTCTGGGACTTCGGGTGAGGGTGTGGCGCCCACGGGAACCCACACCCCCGGAGTCCAGCCCAGGCAGCCAGTGCGAGCTGCCACATGCACCAGCTGGTGTCGTGAGCCCCTGGGCTCGCTGAGCTGCTCCTCACCAGCGGCAGCGCAGCAGGACAAAAGGGGCCAGCATCGCCTGCCCGGTGCCCCTCTTGCCCAGCTCTTCTGCCTCTGTCTCCGCCGTTACCAGGCTTGCACGTGCCCCCGACTTCCTGTTCATCTCCACCCTGTCTGGTACTGAGGAGCCTCGGCATTCCCTGCAGACACCTAACGCGGGTGGCACCATGCGACCCGCCCTCACCCGGGTGCCACAGGGTCACTTCCCTTCAATCAGTGCCTCCTGGACGAGGTAGGGACGGGTGGACCCTGTCACCAGGGCGGGGCCACATCGCATCCTGCTTCCCACCCGCGGGGGTCTCCGGGAGCCTCAGACGGGGCAGGGGCCCCTCTCCATCCCGTACCCAGAGCTTCCGGGTAGTTGGGCCATCGCGTGCAGGGGAGGGAGCGGGGCTCGGGAGGTCCGCGCAGGGTCTGAGGGTGCAGAGGAGGCCGCAGGAGGTGCTCCGGGGTGCGTCGACCTGGCCACCCACGCCTGCTCACGCGCACGCACACACGTGCTCACACACGCACGCTCACGCTCACACACTGCCTGCAGGCCGACCGGGTCACCGCTTAATGAGCTTAATTGAGGTTAATGGCTGTTGCCCGGCCCCTCGGTTATTAAATTATTATCACACGCATGAATCATAATTAGAAGTTTAGTAACCGCGCCGGGGACTCGGAGGGGACTCGCGGGCTGCGAGAGCGGCGGGGGTTCGGGCCCGCGACTGTGCCCCG